GGGGTAATACGCTGAAAAAATGCCCTTTCCTTTCCAGTCTCAACAGTTGGCTGCCCCGTCAATGCAACCGTTGCCGCCGGTGATGTCTCCGCCGGCGATGTACATCGACACAAAGCAAACGTATCTGCAGACATCACCCGAGGTACGGTATTGTGACCTAGTTATTCCTGCTAATAAGCCTTCACTGCTAACATATCTGCTAACCATAAGCTGGGGTGGGTCCAAAGGGCACAAGTTTTACCCACAAGCTTTGTAGACTTGCTATAACTAAAGCAACAGCTTTCAGCAAGGCTACATGCTCTCGCCGGGTGTCACTTATTCGGCCTGTCAAGCTTCTACGGCTGCCTGCATGAAAGTGGAGTCACCAGTATCGATTCAAATGACACGAACACCGTCCGGTAGCAATATCGGGGACTTGATGACGCCTAGCGTCCCCGTCAGTCCCACCGCTAGCGGAACCACCACGAAAGAAGAGCTTTTGAGGCTGTTGGTAAGCCAAACATATGAATCCAATCAATTTCAACCCCTTCTGGATTTCTTTTCTCCAGGTGAACATGTCCCCTGGTCAAGTGGAACGACTCAAAGGAGGAACCCGCCCGAGTACAGTGGTCCGAGCTCGTCCATCGGCGGTCGCCACTCGAGTGCTAAGAGATGAAGTGTGGCCACAAGATGACGATTCAGATGACGAGGACGAGTTAGCGACGGATGAACCACGACGTAAAGGTACGGATTCAGGGGATCACACAAAGAACATTCATTGGTCCAGTGGTTTCCAAGAGGACCAGGCATGACAACTCGTCCCCAAGGGTTGAGACCCCCTGGTTCTTGGTCTAATTCTTGGCCATCCATATTTGCCCAAGTTCAGCCCACTTGATCTTTGAGATGAAACCTAGCTTTGAAGGCAATGGGTGGGACGAGAAAAAGGTGGAACTAATCTGTAAACGTCATTGGTGGAAAGGTGGACGGCTGTCCGGCCACTCTTCCAGCTAATTCCAATGAACACGTCTCGAAATTAGCCCGCTCCCCAACCACTGCATCTACCTCCAACCTGGTATAAGAGCCCGCGATCCGCGCGAATAGCGCGACGGATCGCGGCCTCTAACACCAGCCTAATGGGCGAATTGAGTAAACTTCCCGGATTTGATCTTTTCCAGGACCTAAAACCGAGCGTCGAACTGCCCATAATCTGAATCGAGAAGAAATACCGATGCTCCATCAACGATCGCATTCAGCATCTGAAAACCATCCTAGCCGGTGACGATGCCAAAGTAAGTTCACTGAGTCACCGTAAGACCTTCGATGGTTTCCTGTGTTGCTGTCTGGGTTTATGCCTTCCCATTGCAGTTGAGTAAATCGGCCACGTTACGAAAAGCAATAGAGCATATTGGCAGGCTTGAGGCTGAAAATCAGGATTTGCGACTGGAAGTACAACGTCTCGTATCGGTTCTTCATAGTCACAACATTGAGGTTTGTCTCGAAGTTATCCGCTCATGGTTAGTTCAACAGAGGAGCCACCGAATGAAAAATATCACAGTAGGAAGTCCGACGTTGTCGAGACTTCGCGGTCCAAACGTTCTCAATACCTATTCTTTTTCACTCACAAGGGTCCCATGTATCAAAATCTGCAGATCGCTCGCGCATGCAGTCTGCTCGCCTGCTTGGAAATTTACCTAAAGGAGTACTCAAAGGCACAGGTCGCGATCGAATTGGTCTGTCATTCTGTTTGGGAATCAAAAAGAGGTGTGAAGAAGATCGTCGTGGGGGAAAGCAAAAAATGTGGAAAACAGTGAAACTTTTATGAGTCCGTGGTATGTTGGAGAGACACAGCGCTATGAAGAGAGGAAAAACGCGAGAGAGCGCAGAAACCGCGCATACTGCGATTGTAAAAATGCAGCGGTCGCAGCGAAAGCATTGGATCCCCTGCCGCGCACTATCAAGTCGCGAAACAGGTTTTCTATGGTTAGGGGTCCTGCTGCCACACTCAAAGAGAGATTTTTCTGTGAGTTTAATCGCGACCCGTGCCTTTAATCGCCATAGTAAACACATTCAATCAATCCTTGCTTAAAAATATTCCAACCCACACGTGGCCTTAAATAACTACACCTTGCCGCGACGCAAAGTACTCATCAAAAGTACACGAAGACACGCTCAACTAATTGATATTCCAGTTACGAGCTAATTCGGAAATATTTAGACTTTTTATAACTGGACAGATTTGAAGGTTATTCCGCCAGCGCCAGCGATATTGATGGGGTCGCCAACATTGAGTCCTTCCACATCGTCAGCCAGCATACAGTCTCCTGGAGCTACGGTATTTATCTTACTTGTTGGTGGAGGAGGGTATGCGATTTCTTTCAAATTCTGCATTTGCAGACATCTCCAAGAACATCACCGACTTTACCGTTGAAAGGCGCAAAAAGGCCACGAACAAGTATGGAACAGGTGAGGTTCATTTGAATACTAGTTGTATTCCCCGAAGGCGAAATATTCAGGGACGAGTGACAATTTTTGCCATCATGTTCGCAATGCTCATGTGGAATCCGCTGGGTCTGTTGGCCACTGGGTCATCGGTGTCGGCGAATCGCAATGGTCACCACGAAGCCCCACCTACAGGTGGACGTGTTATCAGCGAGGTTCGCATATTCTCCATAAATCCTATTTTCCTCGTTTCTCAGTAATAGATTATTAGAATAATTGTAGGCACAGTCTCAGGAACATCCAGTAGGGGTGAATGTGGCAAAAAGTCGGTACGATTATTATTCCCACTTATGAACTGCGCAAATCAAGTCCGGAATACTTGGAACCTAATCGCGGCGCAGCTCGCGTAGGACTCCTCCCTTTTGAAAGTACTGTCGTATCAGCCTACGTCTCGTCTCCTCTGAGTTAAGTTCAGTTCAACAAAAATTGCTTTTCACCAAATGAAACCAACGTCTGAACCCGCGACGGTCCTGTTGTCCCCGTAAATCACCGTACCCTATTTTTCTAAGACAAATAGTTCACCATATCCCATGAAATAACGGAAGAACAGTGTGAGGAGGAGACGCCGTTGCAATTCCGAGCACGCCGGGACGAAGTGGGCAAACTCGTGTGTTCAGCCGGTAGCTTCTTGTGGTCTGTGAATATCTTCGTCGTCATTTGTGTACTGACCCGTTTACTCGTATACGGAGACCCGGTACAGTTATGGTACACTCGTCCTGCATAGCTTTTCCCTCCGATATCCAATCAGTTTGTTCCAGGACTTCAAATCGCGGTCATGGGTGTTTTTCTATCAACTGAGAGTGGGGACCGAACGGCGCCCGTCTCAGCGCGCGCCGACTGCTACCAGCACCCGGCGCATGGCTCAGAGCCTCCCCGTCCCCCTGGTCCGAGACGGCGGCGCAGCACGAGCTCGTGAAGAGGCTGGTGTTGGGAATGTACGAGAAGCGCAACGGCAATATATTGAGTGTTTACAGGTACATGAGGAATTTATGGTTGAATCCTTCCATCTCACGGAAATTCACCACCAAATGCACTGCCGCGACGCGACTGCACGCGTCAACTCCTTGCAGTCACGCGAAGTGGAGGCATCAGTACGCTGCCGCTTAGTAGATGCGTCTTAGCTAGAACGAAAGAATAACATCCCAGAAGAATGAGAAGTTCCGTATTACTGCTACTTCACGCTTTTAGATCCTGGAGCGACCACTGCCATCAGCCGGTGTTGAACAAGCTCTTTCCGTTGTTTGGCAGATTATCCGTCATGCACTGAACAGCCTTTGGATTGGCAGGTACGTGTCTGTCCGGATAGATCGCAACGCGGCGGTCACGACGCGTCCTTGTTGGGCGTAGCTGAGCTATTTCATGTAAGTATTACATTTTCAGATGGTTCTCACGGCGAAAACGAGACGCCGGAAAACCTGTTACAGTGGTCTGCAAAAGTCATGCTCACACCGCTATGATCTACCACAAAATGCACCAGGTGAGCCACGACCACTCCAGCTTTTGGTGTTCCCATTGCCCAAGCAATTCCAAGGATATATGAAAGAGCCCAGTTGAGATTTACGATTCAGCTGCATCTGTTGGGAGTTGACGAGTCAAACGAAGGCATTTCCGGGCTATATCTAGCTTTATCGGCCGTAAATCTGGCCGAAAGCGCCGGCGCATCGACAGGACGGCTTACCGAGGAATGTATTGGCTGACATTTACATTGCTGCCGCTATCAGGTAACAATACTCAGTAGTGTCCTTGTGACGACGGGTTTACAAAAACTGTTTCGCAGAACCCGACTTTGTCTTCCACCATTTTTGGCGTCGATTTTCTCCCCGTACTTCTATAGACGGGCAAGACGACATGTTCGACGAGCGGATGAGGACACTGTGAGTTCTTTTCCTACTCTGCAACTCTGAGTATCAGCACTACACATACCTCTATGCATGCGCGGGAAAAAATTTCTCCAAAAAGCTCGTAAGCAGTTTCGCCTTGCGAATGATCGCTTGTGACTCGTTGATGGATGACGCGTGCGGTCGCAAAGCAGCTGGCCTGCCGTTCTCTAGTCTGGAAACCGTCGGTCGAATGATGGTGCAGATATCCTTGATCAGCCAAAAAGCGTTTCGCGACTGCACGCAGCCTTTTTATGGGGGCAAACTACAGCTCATAATCTTCACCATTTTCCTCCTTGACCAAGGCTGAAGTGATTCGATCACCTCACAGATTTATTTTTCAAGGTGAATGGTCTGCTTTGGGTGTTCCATCCGTTATCTCGAGAATTTCTATCGGACGCGGAAGCAGTCCGGGCCGTGCTGAGTGCCAAGAAATCTTCCCTGACACCAATTATCGGCGAATGTGACGGTTGGTTTCTTTCACATTTCGCCCAGTCATCCAGGATCACCAACCCGACCTAGATGTGTCTCACCCTCTTCTTCTGGGAACGTCTTAATGGCTTCGTCTTAGGTGACGTGCTGTCACGGCTTCGTGCCGCTTTCAAACTTCGGCTGCTGACTTTAC